TTAATATTTATTATTTGTTTGATTTATTATTAACTAAAATCACTCATTTTCATAATTTAAAGATTTATTTATTTATTAATTTTTTAAAAGTGTGGATTTGAAAAAACACCATTCCCACATCCAATATTTTAAGTCTTCATTTATTTATTTATTATTTATAAAAATAACATTTAGAAAATAAATTCTTAGATTTACAAAACCACCACTACCACCACTATCTGATGTAGTGGTTATTAACTTCTTTTTCATTCTATACTCTTTTTTTTTTTTTTTTTTTTTTAGATTTGCAAAATCACCACTACCACCACTATTTCACCACTATTTCATGCAGTGGTCATTAACTTCTTTTTCATTCAAACTCATTTTATGTATCATGTGTTTTATGTATTCTTTATTGTGTTTCATAATAATTTAAAAGTTTGTTTTCCTTCAACACTCTCTCTTTAATTTTACTCTTTTCACAATTTTTGCAATTTGATATCATACTAAATTATATTAATATAATATTTTCAATTATTTTATATATTTTGTTTTTCAGAAATTAACATCAAGTGAATAGAAGAATTTTTTTATATATTTTGTTTTTCAGGAATTAACATCAAGTGAATATGGAGGAACACATAATTAAGGTATTCTTAAATCATGTTGTCTTATCTCCTTCATCATTCTCTTCATTATTTTTGTTCTTTTCACAATTTTTACAATTTCATATCATACTAAATTATACTTATATAATATTTTCTATCATTTTATATTTTGTGTTTTTCAAGGATTAATATGGTGTGAATGGATGAATACATAATTAAGGTATTTTTCAATCATTTTGTCTCATTATTGTTAATATTTTATAATTTGTTTTTTGTTTTTTTGTTTTTATTTTCTTTTACTTTTAATTTTCTGGTTATTGGATAATTAAGTGATGTTTTTTTAGGTATAAATTTGTTGCAAAAGAAGAATTGGTGAAAGAAAAAAAATTGAAATAGTTGTGTGAGTGACATTACATATAAATGGTGATTATATTGTGTATTTTCTTAACTTTTAGATTTTTATTTTTTTATATTTTCAATTATATTACTTTTTTAATTTAAAAATAATAATATTTTAATTGTATTTTTATTTGACTTTAAGATATACAAATTTAGTTATCATGATCCGCTTAACTTCAACTAATTATACTATTTTTAGTTTTGATTATGTTTTTTTAAATATAAATTTTGACATCACAAAATGTATTTTTTATTCAAAAAAATATTGTTAGAAAAGTTAAATTGTGGGAGAGGGTGGCTTAAAAAATTCTTATTCTTTGTTTTTTTTATTTTTTTTATTTTTTATGGTTTAAAATTATAATATTTTTGTTAATGTTTTCATCTCAAATACAAACAAAAGCTAATCAAATATAATTCTCACGTCCAATCATTAACACTTAAAGCTATAGCATTAAGTTTCAAATTCTTAAGGGCTTAATTTTTTTATTATTACACAAAAACATTTAAAAAACACATATAACATCAAAAGCACAAATTTGAGACTACAATTCAAAAATAATACTTTGGAGATACTATAATATAAATATATGTGATTTTTGAATCAGTCCGATCATGAAATAGTTTAATGATTTTATCTTTAATAACTTTGATAGCTTTGTATATAACTATCTAATCTCATAATTTTTATTAAAATAAAATATTTGATTCAATTGAAAAATATATCTTCAATTTATAATAATTATAAATAATAATTTAATAAAATTTATTGTACATCACACATATAGACGTCTAATTATTATTATTACTATTAAAAATAATATCAATCAATTTATTTACAATAATTAAATAGCGGACATCTAAATTAAATGTCACATCTTTTTCATAGTGTGTTCATTATAGATATGCCTTATCTTTAAAATTCTTTTTATCCTTTCAGTTTCAATAAAAATCAACTATCATATATTTTTATCACTATAACACTTTTTAAACACAGCTATACAATAGTTATTGTTTTTTATTAAAAAAAAACTAACAAAATTAAAAAATATATATCTTAATATGTATTTTTCAAATAGTAACAAACCCGTGCTATCACACGGATCTCGTCTAGATTCACATTACATTGAAAGACTTCCTTGTACACAATATTAGTAGTAGTAGAACACGGTACATTCTCATTGTAATGAATTAAGATTTTTAGCCCACATTTGCTCTTAACTCTTGAAATTGCAACATATAATTGACCATGACTAAACACAGTAGTAGGCAAATACAATCCAATACTATCAAGAGATTGACCTTGTGACTTATTAATTGTCATTGCATAGGAGACAATAATCGGAAATTGTCTCCTAATCAACTTGAATGGCCAAGGTGAATCAGAAGGTGACATAGACATTCGTGGAATATAAAAAATGTTACATATTTTGCCTCAATGACATGATTTGCAAATCTTGTAACAATTAATCTTGTTCCGTTGCACAATCCATCGGCTTGGTCCAAATTTCTCATTAGCATAATAGGTGTACCAACCTTCAATTTGATCCTATGATTGGGAAGCCCTGACGTTTTTAATTTACTGAGAAATTCAGGAGTTATAACTTCATATGCTTCAGTATAACTTGAATCTGTTCTATCAATGGAATCAAAACTCAAATACTCTTTCTCTTCTCCTAAAAAAAAGTTTAAAAGAAAAAATAAATTAGTAAAACTATGTTCTTAAATATATATATATATATATATATATATATATATATATATATATATATATATATATATATATATATATATATATATATATATATATATATATATATATATATATATATATATATATATATATATATATATATATATATATATATATATATATATATATATATATATATAATAATACAGTAAATATAAAACACATGTACCTGATATCAAGTCTAATACATAATGATTGATTTTGTCCACAACTTCAATGGTTGAAGCAAGAATAGCCCATAACCCCAATTCTTTGCTTCGTCGATGGCTGCAACATATTCCTTGTCATCGTTAAGAAAGCCCATTTCGAAGCATGCATCCCTAAAAGAATCCTGAACTTTTCCACCCACAAATTTTATATCCTCATAGCAAGTTGGACCTTTGACGACTGTTAGCATCATTCTCAAGAAATATAACTCACCCGTACTTGAAGGGACCCAAATAAGTCTGCCAATTGTATTTCCTCTTTTACGCGGTCTCCATCGACGGTATCTTTTATCATAAACAAATTTGGAAAGAAATTGTGAGTACGTCAAATTCTTTGCCTCTGGGTATGCTTTGTTTGCTTCCATCCATGCCGTAAACATAGATTCTTTCACAGTTGGTTTGTCAAGCACCTCATCTATCAATTCATAATCGGTATAATAAACAGAGTTGTCTCCTTCAAGATGAAAGAACAACCTTTTAACTGCGGGTGATCTACCATGAATAGGAAATGAAAAAAGTCTCCAACATGCCTCACTTGGTGAGATATATCTGCAATCAAGATATTGCTTGATTTCGTCAACCATTCTGACCGAGGGAGATCCATCACCGCCAGTTTGGACAACAGCAGCAGTAATTCTATCATACCCCTTGTTAATATACTTAAATAAGTATTTAACTGAAGTACTTTGATTACACCACTCCATATTGATGTGTGCTTGGAATTTCTTCAACAAATATGGATTGTAAGGAACTACATATCTGTTATCAAGTTTGTATTTAAAATTATATTCTTTAATATTAGATAAACTATTAAAAATATAATTTCCTTAATTCTCATATATTAAATATGACTTTTAGAGTGATGCATGTCAATTGATCCCCATAAACACCAACAACTATATGTTTAGAAATATATCATAAAAAATTATATTAATTCTCTTTAATTTTTCATATATTTTGTGTGTTAGATACTAATCACTAAAAACTCATACATATTAAATATGACTCTTTGGAGTCATACATGTTATATTATAATGAATAATATAATCCATTCTTTACTAAAAAATAATCGCATAAAATTTTCTTTACTTTTGAAAAAGTATAAAATCAATCACTTACAACTTTAAACTTAGAGAAGTAATATTGTTAACATTAATTGTTTATCTCTAATTTACCTTAAGATGTATTTTCATCTATTTATTTTTCTTTTTAACACTTGCTTATAAGTAAAATTTGCACATTACATGAATTACTTTACTAATATCTTTAAAAAAATGTTATCTATATAACTATTTAATTATACTATTAATCTATTTTAATATTTTGAATGCATTGTTTATATATAACTCTTTTTATGTTGTCAATTAATAGAAAAGTAAAATAATGGAAATACGTAAATATTTTTTATGGAAAAAAAGTTAATATTTTTTAAATATTTTTTCATGGTTTTAGATAATGTAACATGAAAGTATAAATAGTGAATGACATTAAATACCACATTTTAAAATAAAAAGAAAGTATCAATTTATATATTTGATAGATAATCAAAAATACAAATTCATTATATTTAATATAGAGAATAAATTATTTTAAAGAAATATGTATAATAAGAGAATAAATTTACGTTATTTAAATTATATATATACGTCTAATTATTATTATTACTATTAAAAATAATATCAATCAATTTATTTACAATAATTAAATAGCGGACATCTAAATTAAATGTCACATCTTTTTCATAGTGTGTTCATTATAGATATGCCTTATCTTTAAAATTCTTTTTATCCTTTCAGTTTCAATAAAAATCAACTATCATATATTTTTATCACTATAACACTTTTTAAACACAGCTATACAATAGTTATTGTTTTTTATAAAAAAAAAAACTAACAAAATTAAAAAATATATATCTTAATATGTATTTTTCAAATCTACAATATAAGAAAATCGACTATTTTCTTTTCAAAAAGTTGACACGTGGCTTCATGAGGGTTCAACAAATCACTACTTTAAATTCTTCTTCAATTATTTCTTCAATCGTTTCCCACTTCCAACATGGCAGTTACAAAATTAGAATTTTCTCATTCCAATCCTTCTGTCTTCCTCACCTTTCCCAATTCTTTCCAATTTTGCAACGGTTTCGCATTCTTCTCCTCTCTCTCGTCCTTTCTCTCTCACAAGTACTCTAACCAAACCCTTCCTCGTAATTCTCGTCCTCTCTCGGTTTGTGTCGACGAATTTTCTCATTCTTACCATAGTGATTTTGATGTTTTTGTGTATAATCGTACTTTGATGTTTCTGTTATGAAATTCGTTGTTTCTATGTTTCAGATATTGTTGATATGTTCGAGGTTTAGATCTTTCAGGCGTCAACGTTATGTCTTCGCTTGGCAGGGAACTGGTTTTTCTTATACTTCAGTTTCTAGATGAAGAGAAATTCAAGGATTCTATTCATAGGGGTGTTTATTTTCATGAATTTATTGTAATTTATTGAGTTATTTATTTATTTAATTTACAACTTATATTGTGTATTTGAATTTGTGAATGCGAAGGTTGAAGCAAGAATTAGGTTTTTTCTTTAATATGAGGTATTTCGAGGAAATGGAAACGAATAGGTAGAGTGGGATGAGGTGGAAAAGTACTTGTCTGGTTTTACTAAGGTAGATGATAACGGATACTCGATGAAGATCTTCTTTGACATACGAAAGCAGAAGTATCTAGAAGCATTAGACAACTAGGTTACTTGTGTTAAGTCTTTTCTAATTTGCTTGTTGCGTTGTAAATTTCTCTGTTGTTGGTTTGATGTTAAGTTGGAAATAAATGTTGCACGAAAAATCGAGCGAAAGTTGTGGATATTTTAGTGAAAGACTTGAAAGTGTTTGCGACATGTGATTGGTTGGGAGAAACATAACTTGCCTCCAATTGGGGATTGTCTTGATGATAAATTTTGCTGGTGGAGACCTACCAAATCCATGCCGATTGATTTTTCGTGTACATCGGTTTTGTGATCTCATCTATTGTCTCTAGAGACTCATCATGAGGCCATCTTTAAATTAACTGCAGATTCAGGGGGCCATCATTTTTTATATACTAGTGTATATGAAAAACACTTAGGGTAGAAAGATAAATAAACAAGAGTTGATACAATTTCTTCGACATCAATAATAGGATCAAGTACAAATTTAAACCTTGGCATTTTTCTACCACTGTTCTTATTTGTCGAATTTCTTTGAATAAATCTGAAGGGTGTGACTATAATGGTTAAGAGGAGTGTAAATGATGTTAAAGTGGAATTGTATGATTCTGAGTTGTGTCTTGGAGTGGGGTGGATAGTTTTTCAGTTGCATTGTGAAATCTAATAACATTTGCCGATCCCTTTTCTTATCTTTCTATTGTGTTTTCTCATGGTATTGTAGATTAAATACATCCACGCAATCACAAATTTCACAGATTGGAGGAAATTAGATGTGGAGTATGAGATGGTAGTCATTTAAACTTTTATTGGTTGCATATAAAATTCTTGTCTTACAAGCTAATAGTAGTAATTTTGGTGTTTTATCTACTTCTGTTTTAGGTTGGAGGCATTGATTATAAGCATGAACAACATATAATGAAGTACCAAAGAGAAAACGGTATGAAAGGAGAAAATTTGCTCTTTGGTTGTTACTAGCAGTGATTTTTCTTATTTGGATGATGGCATCTTTGGTTATTTTATCAAAAGGTCTAACATTATGGACAAGCTCGATGCATAAGGCATTTACTGCTATTAATGCTTCTTATTTGCAGTAAATTTCTTTCATCAACTACATTTTGACCTTTTTATGTATCCTAATTTCCTTCGCCCCCTCGATTTTACTTATCCAAAATTGACGGAGTTTTGTTCTTAAGGTCTTCTGTTGTTGCTAAAGCTCCACATTGGTTGAATGCTGCTATTAGCAACTTCAAACATGATTTCATGGAAAGTAGTTCTTCTGGTGGAAAGGTAAGAAACTCAAAACTCAAAAAAATTATGCTTAGTGAGTGCTGTTTTGCATGATTTATTGGTTGTTTTCAATAACTAATGATGATGCAGATTTCAACAACTTATGTTCGTAAAAAGTCATGGAAGAGTTGTACTGCTCATGCTCACATCTCGTCGTATATCAAATTACAATTTTTTTTATAATTTCTTTTATACTAGGAATTATCTTATTTGAAATTAATGCCTTAAAATGGTGTTTGGACTTGGGATCACACTGCATTTTAATTGCTTAACTTCAACAAGTTATCATGGTTCCAAAATCAATTTTTAGATATTAAAGATTGATTTGCATGTATATTCATTTTCGCTTATATCTCATATTGGATTTGCTGGCAAATTTGCGATCTGCTATTAGTAACATCGCTACTGTTAGAACTGAGTGGAAATGTTATCATATTGTAGCTATAATTTGTTTTTGGCTTTTGAATCTTACAATGTTGTATTGTATATGATATAGGAATTTGACATCAAAACCTCATTTTTGTAGGAATAGTTATTTCTTAAAGATGGGGAGTTTGGTTGGAAAAGAGTACTCAAGTAGCATTGTTCCAGAAAAAATCGCACAAGTCAGTACAAGTTTTAAGCAACCACCACAACACGATATTCCTATCTTTCTTTTAGTAGGAACCGAAACTCATTACAACTTTGTTAAAAAATTATGAATGTTTTGTTTATTTATTAAACAATTATATTTTGGAAACAACACTAATATACCGTTAGATCTTAGTAGATAGTTTATTAGTATTCTATTTTGTGCAGATTTAAGTCATCAACTACACCAAGTAGCATATTTGTCTACAATTTACAATGATTAAATTTTGGTTGGAAATGAATCTGCTGCACAGTTGGATCTAAAGTGCTTTAAGCTTCTGTTAGACACATCATTGCTAACTGAAGTGGTGAAATGAATCAACTCCGCCAATTTCTCTTAACTCGTGATTTGCGCAGCCTGTATCATATGGTGAAGATTTGGTTCTAAATTTTATTATACTAATGGTAATATGTTTATGTACAAGTTGGTTAGTTGTACTATCTTTTAAATAACTCATTTATGCATTCGAGAAGGTTATCCTTGCATATGATGCTGAAAGCGAAAAAAATCTTGGTATTTCCGAAGAGGGAGATAAGTGAGAGAATATTCAAAAAGAGAGTCTGGATGCCGAGGTTATTCTATTGGAGATTGATCTTAGCTCTTTTTGTTATGTACAGAGATTTAAATGTTCCACTTAATATTCTAATGTAAGTTCTCTTATATGTTTTAATTATTAATTATCATTTTGAAAGAAAAAGGGAAAAAATATAATCATGTTTTCATATCCAATAACCATAACATATAATACTTAGGTGGTGCAATATGAAGACCTAGAAAAACAAATTGGAAAGGATATAACTTTTGATCTTGTGGCCCTTGACAAGGTGAAAAGTTTCCATGTTACAAAGGTTACATCATTTAATTATTTTAAGGTATCATCATCACCATCTTTATCAGCTACATTATTATTTAATTATTTGTATGAAATTCATTGGATATATCATAGTTTAATACCATATATCTTTTGATTTGGTCCATAGTGGTGTGAAAATTTTGATATGTTGCACTGAAAACTTTAAATATATAATTATATAAAAATCAGATGCTTTAGTTGGAAAGAGTAAAAATTTTCATCTGAATCTTCCAGGTTTTTATGCTTTTAATTATGTAATTTATAGTGTATGGTTTGATTTTCTTGTCTTATTGTTACTATGTATAAAAATCTAGCTACTGTGTTTGGCATACCAGCTCAATTCCAGCACTTTTGGGTTTTTGCACGGCAGAAAAACCTGACCTTTCATCCATCTCGGCCATTGACATGCATCGAGGAATCAGGATATGTAAATTCATAGTATCTTTTGTAGCTTTTTATCTCATTTATTTTTTATGTTAAGTGTGTTTGTGACTTTTTATGTAATTACTGGCATAGTTGGTTGCTTTAGATTTCATATTTTTGTCTCGGGTCAATGGTTAATTCCACCTCTAAACATTTGTTTATTCTTACTTTTATGTTTTCCATTTTGACTATCTTCTTTCATATCTTTAAATTTTGTAATGTATATTCATCACTTGCAAATTCTCTATGATTTTGATGGTTTTTTTTTCATTTTGATTTCGAATTGCAGATTGGACAGTTGATAGCGAGAATCAGTGGAGAATTTAAATTTGAATACGAAGCCGAAATTATCACTGTTTCTGGAAGTGGAACGTGGGCTGGTAAGATTTATAAACTGAATTTTTTTTTTACTATTTTCATGCTTCTACAACAGCATGTCTCATTTCTCACTGGTCAACTTCAGAGCTTTGTCGAGTATCTTGTGGAAGTAAAACTTCAAATCTTTCACTTCACCAAGAAAATTTTTGGTTGCTACATGTTGGTCTTTATAGAAAATCCACAAGAGTGGTTTAAGTTGTTGCTGGGTTTTTAAGCAGTAATAATTAATAAGAGAATCACTCATTGGTGCCAATTCCTATTAAGCATTGGGTTTGGGCATAAGCAATTTTTGGGTCATAGTGACATAAACAAATAAAAAGAGTAATGGTTGATGAAATTTAAGAATTGGAGTCATTGTGGGGTCTGTTTGTAAATTTCTTTAAGGGTTTGGTTGATGGGCTAAAGTTGTTAAGAGAAAACTCATGTGACATACTTAGTGTATAATTGGTTCAACGACGACAATGTGATTGAGATCAAATTGATATATGTTTGGATACACGTTTATGCTAAAGCAGTTTTTATCAACTCATTATGTCTGGAAGATGTAGATCAAAATAGCTTTTGGATATATAATTATCAAAATGAGTTTTTTCTTTCAAAATAATGACACCCTCTTTTGTCTTTGTCAAACATCAGTGTAACTCACTCAAGGGTGTGTTGAGAATTGATTTTAGTGAATTGTAGAAGCTAGGAATTGCATCTTCAGTGTAAACTTGTTTTTGAAGCTAGAAATTATTTTCATTGATAAAAGCCAAACACTACTTTTGAGTCAAACTACCTTTCACCCTTTCAAAATTTATTTTGAAGAGTTTAAATGTGGTTCCAAACAGGGGATTAGAATTGTTCAATAGTGGAAATGTAGATGCTCTTAGACAACACAACAGTCATAACATTTTCTCGGGAGTGGTGCCATAATACACATATCAAATTGCAAGCCATTTGAATACACAACCTTAATTTGATTGGCCTAATAAATTCTCCTTCCCTCCCTCCCTTCATCTTTAACCTTTAGTATTATTCTATACAAATGCTCAACCCAACTAAGATTAAACTCTACCATTTTTCTTTGAATGTTGTTGTTGCCCAACTTTATCTTTAACACGTTCATTCCAAATCATATGTTATTCATTAATGTCTTAATTCTAAGCCTACCTTGCATTGCAGCACCAATGTCATATTTCTATGTTATTCCATTAGTGATATGGAGTAATGACATTCACAGAAAATAAATGTTTCTCATTACTCAAAGAAAAATTTATGGCAAAATTAACTTTTAAAATTTATATTTATTTTAATTTGTTGATAAAGAAAATGTGAGACTTCTGAAAAAAAATTATTATCATCATGAAGAGAATATGAAATAATAATTTGTTTACCTATAATTACATATATTTAAAAATGATGATTTCGATGATGAAAATAGTTATTTACTAAAATCAATTTTTATTTTTATTTTTTTAAAACACCAAATTAAAATAATTATAATGGGAACATGAAGTTATTGATCAAAATATTGAATATTAATGGGAACGTGAAGTTACTGATTAAAATATTGAATATTAACATGAATACAAAGTTATTGATTCAAATTTTGAATATTAATGAAAACATGAAGTTACTGATCAAAATATTGAAATTGACGGGAACACGGAGCTACTGATCAAAATTGAATATTAACGGGAACACGAAGATACTGATCAATATATTGAATATTAACAGTAACAGGAACATTAAGTTATTGATAATATTTTTGAATATTAAAGGGAACATGAAGTTACTGATCAAAATATTAAATATTAACGGGAATATGAAGTTACTGATAAATTTTGTTTGTTAAATAATTGTCTTTCTTTTATTTCATTTTTGTTATAACTTAAATTACTAATCAAAATATTGAATAATAACGAAAATATGAAATTACTGATCAAAATATTGAATATTTATGGGAACATGAAGTTACTGATCAAAATATTCAATAATAATTATAAAACAACTTTAATGTTGGTTTAAATATTTTTAACAATAATTCAAAAATAAAAATAATATTTATATAAAATAAATATATATTATCGATTTAAATATTTTTATATATTAAAAAAGTTATATCCACCGACTTATTATGTCTTTGAAAAAAATTTCATTATATTTTTATTATATTTTCAAAATAATGTGCGTATCATACCGGTAAACGAATGGGTATCCTACTAATTTTAGATTGAAAAATAAGACATTTTTTGTTTATTTATTTTAGATTTTTTTATTAGAAGAATGTTAAGGAACAAATTGAATAGTATAAGAATTTTATATTATAATAAAAAATAAATTTAATTTGCGAGAAAATTAAATATACATATGATACTCTTTATGATGTATGTTATTAAAAATAAAAGGATTTACAAATAAATGATTTAAAATATGTTTATGATATTTTTTCTATCATTATTTTCTTTTTTGGCCACTATGAAATATTATTAATAAAGTTGATAGCAGTTAAAAAAATTTAAAGTCAATTTTAATTATTATTTTATTATTATATGAAGATTTGATCTTATATGATAATATGATTTTTATAAGAACTATCTAGAGAATATATTATTTGAATTTTTTTTTGAATTTGACATTGATAATTTTAGGCATTTCTTAGGTTTCTTAAATTATAGACTAAATATTCACTATAAATTTTTTTTTTCCAGCGACATGAAATTGTGACGTGATTATCACGTGGTTAAAAAAAAGTTATTGCAACGTGATAATCACGTCACTAAAATTTTTAATATAAAAAAAATAAAGTTTACGTTAATATGGTGGGACTCAAAGTTTTTTATGAAATAAAAATATTTGCGACGTGGGATTCACGCCGCAACTAAAAAGTTAATATACAAAAAAGGCTCTAACGTTCAGACAGAGTGAATTTTAAAAATTTTAAAAATTTTAAAAAATTTAGTTATGACATGATTATCACGTCGCAACATTCGAGGGGGGAAATATCTGACTGAGGATTGACTTAGTTCAGAGTTGTGAAGACTGAGTGAATAATATTTTTTACGGTTGAATATGTTGTGACGTGAATCTCACGTAACAAGATTGCGACGTGATTTTCACGTGGCGTATATACTTAACAATCTCGTTCACAAATCAACATCCTTCCCCCTTCTGTTTCTATTTCTTTGTTTTCTTCTCTCTTTCCTTCATTGTTCCACCTCCACCATAAATCTTCCTCAAATCTTTTCAAATTATGCAATTATATTGATATAGGTAATTGTTTTATATAATTTAATTTTAATATATTTATATAATTTTCTTTATTATTTATTATATTTTCTAATTAAAATTTTAGTTTAATTTATTTTGTCAAAATTGAAGAATATTGAAGAGTTTAGAAAAAGATTGAAGAAGAAGATTGATCGAAGGAGATTGAAAATGGGGTATTAAATTAAGAAATCTTAAATTTTTAATTTTAGTTTATTAATTTTATTATATTAAATTTAACATATTGAATTTATTCTATATTAAATTTGTTAATTTAGTTTATTATATATTGAATTTATTAATTAATTTTATTAATTATAAAAGAAAAAAAAATCCAGCAATTAAATTTTTTAAAAAATCAATGACATGATTTCCATGTCACAAAATTGTGACATATAAATCACGTTGCAACTTAATTTTTTAATAAAAAACAAAAGTTGAATAGAACGTGGTAGTGTTAAATATAATTAACTAGTGACGTGATTTTCACGAAAATTACGTGACAAATAAAATACTGCTCTGACTTCCTGCGTCTGCTACGCCTGCTCCCACTGTAATTTTAGGATTTCTGTGTGAGCAAATTGCGACATAATTTTCACGTCACAACTTTTTAACATAATAATCACGTCGCAATAAAGTTGTCACCCGCTCCCTAGCCACGTGATTGTTCATGTCACAAGTTAATTGTTGTAACGTGATTTTTCATATTGTGACGTGAATTTTACGTCGCAAATGAGAATTTTTTTTATATTGATTGATTAAATAATTGAAGTATAAATTAATATACACTTATATGGATTATGAACTTTATGATTAATGAAAAATAATATATACAAATGATTTAATATAATATTTTTTATAATATTGTATATTATATTATTATTATTATATATATATATATATATATATATATATATATATATATATATATATATATATATATATATATATATATATATATATATATATATATATATATATATATATATATATATATATATATATATATATATATATATATATATATATATATATATATATATATATATATATATATATATATATATATATATATATATATATATATATATATATATATATATATATATATATATATATATATATATATATATATATATATATATATATATATATATATATATATATATATATATATATATATATATATATATATATATATATATATATATATATATATATATATATATATATATATATATATTAAACTTAAAGAAATTAATTGATATAATAAAATAAAATTATAATATAAATTAATAAAGATGCTCATATTGTTATATTTAATATAATTTAAAACACGAGATTATATGTGATTATTTTTCAAAATATATTTTTATTTAAAATAATATTTAAGATAATAATTCTAATCAAACCCGTACAAACACAGATCATATATCTAGTAAGATATAATTTAATATGTCTAGAGCGGTTATTTATTGAAAAAATATTTTTAGGTTTAATCCCTTAATGATCAATTATTTTTTAATTTTAATTTATATATTTGTCAATATTTAAAAGTAACATTCAAAAATAACTAAATAATTCTAAACTTATTATTATATAAAATAATACTACAACGACTTCAAACTGGAAAGTCGATCCCTTTATTCACTAGTCAAGATAGTTCTTCTTTAAAGGTGGATTAAATTTAAAGTAACACATAGTTAAATGAAAATTTAAAATCCTTCTGAACTTTGAAAATGAAAAACAATCATTTGAACACATTAAAGTATTAGAAACTACTGAAATTATTGATTAAGAAAATAAAGTAAAATATAGATCTTCAATAATGAATTAATGACATTTTCAATCTAGTGATCACTCATTCACTTGCCATTTTTATGCTCGGAATTTTTCTTTTTTCTTATATCGGAGAGTTTATTAGCAAACCTGCAAACATATAAATATCAATATTTGTTAGTATTTTTTCCATCTTAGTTAGGACTATTAGAAAATAAATAAGTTATTATTATAAAATAAAATGAATTAATACCTATCGAGTTCTTCCTGAATGGTTCCTTTATCTAGAACTGTTTCATATATGCCTGAATCTAGATTCACTCTAGTAAATTTTTTCTTCAATAAATTCTCACCAGCTTTCACCAGATTATTCAGATTATCTTTAGTAGATATATCCACCGAAGCTAACTCTCCTTCTAATGTATCATCCTGTTTGAAGAAACAGTGTTATATATACGATTATAAGAAGTGCTCTATATTTTAAACTTGTTTTTTTCTTTAAATACTTACTTGAATTCTGAGATAGTTGTCTTGAGATTGTAGAGCAGTAAAAAGGACAGAGTTATGGTAATCAACCATATCAGTGCTTGCTTCATTGAAACAATCAATAACTGGAGTTGCACCAGAGTTGAATAGCCATGTCAAAACTCCCCATTTTGCTGCCATTTTAGCACTATACTTTCTCTCACTTTTGTTTGATCCTGTCCCTATTGATATCACAAGAAAACGATCATATCCTATACCAACATTACTCTCATTTCTCCCTTGTGGTTGCCTTATCATATCTTTTATCACTTCTCTTATTGCAACCATAGTCTGCAAAATTCATTATCAAAAATCAAATCAATAAAATCTTCATTTGTTTTATTAACTTGGTTCACTGCAAAAACACACTTAGATAATTTTAGATAATTTCACAAAGAAATTGTTAGCATTTAACAAATCAAAAACAACCTCTAAATGATATAAGTGGTCCCTGAAACTAGGACTATATATGAGTATGTCATAAAAAAAAACTAAAACGAATTTGTGTAAGTGAGGCCTTAACAAATTGTTCATAGTTTACTGAAAAGTGGAAGAGGCATTAGTAAGCCCGAAGGGCATTACGAGAAACTCGTAATATCCATCGAAAGTTCAAAATGATGTTTTATGAATGTCTTCCGAAGCAACCTGGATTTGGTGGTAGCCAGAGCGTAAATCCAATTTAATGAAAACTGTCACTGAACCTAATTCATCTAATAATTCGTCAATGGTAGGGACAGAGAATCTGTATTTAATTGCAACAACATTAAGAGCACGATAATCCATGCAAAACCGCCAAGTACCATCCTTCTTTTTAACAAGTAATACTGGTGAAGAAAAAGGCCTAGTACTAGGCTTAATAAGCCCATCACGTAACATCTCCTGAATAATTATGGTCGTTGCATCTTTTTGTGAATGGGGATAACTATAGGGCTTAACATTGCATCTTTAAGTAGGATAGATGACTTTCTCTCTAATGGGCCTAGACAGCTTCATATCACTATAACTTTTTAAAAAGATTTTATAGGAACTTTACCGGATTGTTGGCACAAACACCTCCGTCAATGAGATTGTATTTTTTAATCACTCTTCCTTGTTCATTTTGTATCTCAAAATAGTGAGCTGGTAAAAAAGTTGGAGCAGCATAGGTAGCTATGCAGATATCTGACAGTCTTACATCTAAAGCTGGCTCAGCATCAATCTGCATAAATTTCAAGATTCTTGATAATTTAAATGGATGCATGCATTAAAAATAAGAGTTAACACAATACCTGATATGAGGAAAAAATGGTTGGTTGAAGTTTTTCAATATCAAAAGATGGTATAACAATGTTTGTGAGAGTTTGGCTCAAAAGTGTATTCCCTGTCACCTCTCTTATTGTCTTATGGAGATCGTTCAGTGTACTTAGGTCCTGTTAAAGCTTTCGCTACGTTCATGATCGGCGCAAATATTCCACTGCAGATTCAATAATAATCAAAAGTAATTGATTAGTCCTTCTAATGTCTTAAAGATTTACTAATATATATATATATATATATATATATATTTAATTATATATATATATATATATATATATATATATATATACTATATATATATATATATAAATATATAGACTTATTTAGTAATTGATCAGCTATAAATATACCTTTTCTGTGGAAAAATAAGTGGCAAGTTTTTAAGGTAAAATGGAACAATATCTCTGGCAGCAAATAAAGGACGGTTGTTTGGATTTGGAGTTGCTAACATGGCTGTAATGAGACCACCAGTACTTGTCCCAGCAATTACATCAAAGTAATCTGCAAGTCTTGCATCAGCACCATCTATCTCTTGAAGTTGAGATTCAAGGTAGGCAAGAATAACACCAGGAATGATTCCTCGGACGCCTCCGCCATCAATGCTAAGAACGGTAATGAAATTCACAGGCTTAACTTCTTCCATTGATACAATCAAACTATTGTGTGGGTGAGAATGGAGATGGAGAACTTAGATGCTGTTAGGTTTTGCGTATGTTAGTATGGAGATGGAGAACTTGGTCCTTTTAGACTAAATGTGTTTGTATATATAGAGTAAGAAATTAATGAATAATTAAGTGGTTTCTTTGATGTTATGAAAGAGATACCACAAACTATTACAGTTAGTTTTTATGTGATAGGATTGACACAAAGTATAAAGAGTTGGAGAATAACATAGTTACATAAAACACACTCATCATGTATGTATTTGATAGACACACGATAAGAAACCTAATATCATTCTTTTAATGTTTCATGTAATTAGGACACACTTGATAAATACATGAGTTCAAATATATATTATATTTTATTATAAAATTATTTATAAAAAATAATTACATATATTTTAATAAATATAATTTTTAAATTTAACATATTAACAAAAAAATGATAAAAATAAAAAATAAAAAGAAATATAGATCATTTTAAGGAAATTCACTTATCTATTGACTACTAAATAAAAATTTTAATTTATTTTTTATAAAAAAAAGAGTAAAAAATAATTCGATTATATATGTTAGATAAGTTAAATACTTTTTATTTAATTTTAAATTCCTGTTCTTTCATTTTATTTATAATTTATTAAATTTATTTTATTAATTTTAAGTTAAATTATTTAGGGATAAATTAATAATTTTTTTTATCATTTAGTTTCTATTCTATCTCATATTGATGATGAAAATTTTAATTAGAGAGACAAGATAAGATAAGTTGCAGAACTAACTTATCATATCCTACTATGCGAACATTAAATTGAGATATGAAATGAAACATTAATCGTATCATTTTTACTCATATCCTTTTTGATATGATATTATAGTGTTTTGAAAAGAAAATCATAAATATGTGAGGGTTATCAAGTAGTTCTTTGATATAGATGACAATGCTTCACGTCAAAAAATGAGTGTGCTAGCATTTAATTATATTAAAAAGAAACAAATAAGTAATATTGATTATTTTTTGTATTCATGATGATTGTTGATGTGGGATTCAAGGATGTTTTATATGCTTTGGATAAGTGTTAACACTCGTCTATTGGACATTTTTTAAAGTGTGTCATTTCTAAATTAATTGGACATTTTAAAGTGTGTCATTTCTAAATTAGAAATAAGTGGGATATGATACGCGTATTTGTTATTAAAATATAATAAAAATATAATAAAATTAAAAATAAATTAAATTATTTAACAATATTTTTTATTATTTTTAAAAAAGATAATAAATCGATGTCTGTAATTCTTTTATTATATAAAAATATTTAAATAAATAATATATATGTTTTTTATATAAATATTATTTTTGTTTTGAAATTATTATCAAAAATATTTAAAGCAATAACAAAGTTGTTGTATTATTATTCAATATTTTGATTAGTAATTTCATGTTTTCGTTATTATTCAATATTTTGATCAATAATTTCATGTTTATGTTATTATTTAATATTTTGATCAATAATTTTATGTTCTCGTTTTTTTCTATATTTTGATAAGTAATTTTATGTTTCCGTTATTATTCAATATTTTGATTAATATTCAATATTTTGATCAGTAATTTTATAGATATATTATTTTAAATATATTTTCTTAATCATAAAAAATATAATAACTCGTGTGTTTGCACTGATTCTGATCTAAATATTCGTGCGTTCGTATGTTACTGATATGTTACGTATATTTGAATCTAAAATATAATAAGAATTAAAAAACAAAAAAAATAATATTATTTAAATATTTATTTTAAATCATAAAACTATGTAATTATTGTCTATAATTAAAAAAATAATGTTTCAAATTAAGTTTAAATATTATTTAAATCTTAAAGCTATAACATTATTGTCTATCACACCAATTTTTTAAGCTATTGTTACGGGTAAATAGAATATAACATAGATCGATAACTAATCTAAGTTAAATTATTACTCGACTTAAGTCTCGTTAATCAAAAAAATTATTAATTTGATTGTGTTAATGTAATCAATATTTTTAAAAATTGCGATATAAAATTTTATTAAAACATAAATATTGATACTATTTTCTTTAAATTTAAATATTAATTTATTTTTAATTTCAATTATATAATAGTCAAATTACCAAAATTATGTATGATATATAATAAAGTGTAATATACAGATATAAGATATACACGAAAAAAATATTCAAACTATAAAACTTCAACTTAATATCACACATTTTACAATATATCTGTTCAACACACTACAAAAAATACTCTCATTTGTAACGTGAATTTCACGTCACAATATAAAAAATCACGTCACAATAAATTATTTGCGACGTGCATGTTCACGTGGTTGGAGAGGGGGTGACAAATTATTTACGACGTGATTTTCATGTCACAAAGTTGTGACGTGAAAATCACGTCGCAACATACTTTTATAGGAATTACAATGTTGTAGGAAAAACAGACGTAGTAGAGTTAAAATAACTTTAGTTGCGACGTGTTTTTTACGTCACAAATTAGTAACTTGAAAAACACGTAACTAAATAATTACATTTAATGCCTCTTATGTATTCAACTTTTATTTATTTTTATATAAAAAATGAGGTTGCGACGTGATTTTCACGTCACAACTTGTGACGTGAAAATCGTGTCACTAATATTTTTTTTTAATTTAATAACTGAATTTGTTTTTCTTTTATATAAATTCAATTTAATAAATTCAATATAATAAATTAAAATAATAAATTCAATATAAAATAAATTCAATATATAATAAATTTAATATATTAAATTTAATATAATAAAATTAATAAACTAAAATTATAAATTTAAGAATTAATTAGTAGGTTTAATTAATTAGTATGGTATACAAATTCAAATTTGAAAGTAAAATAAAAAAAATTTAAGTTTACGGATCATCTTGGTTGGTATACTTGTCAATGTCAAAATTATCTTCGTTTTTGTCATCCTCCGGCTCTTGACCACGAAAGTTTGGATTACCACCAAACCCTTACATAAATTGTCTCATTTGTTGCTCCATATCAGCTTGCCTCTTTGCCATGACCTCCATTTATCATTGTTGCTCTTGCCTCATTGCCTTAATTTGAGCTTTCATTGCCGCCTCACATTGCGATGACTTGCGTCTCGTCTCATTTAACGCCAATTGCCTTACCGTTTCAAGTTGTTATGGTGTCAAATTTCATTGACGTGACCCCTTCTCCATCTCTAACTCTTTGAAATAGAGTTCTATCTCCACTTCTCAAGGTACTAGCTAAATTTCCACCACCAAAAAAACAACTGTTAGGACCTTTTCCACCAATGACTTGATCCCAAATATAAAAGTCCACATCTGGATGGAGCGGCTCTCCCTCTCCCGGAGTATATTGAGGATTATGAATCAGAAAATTTATGAGCAATGTCTGATAATCCTCCTATACATTCAATAAAAAAATTAAGTTAAATATTTAATATATTAAATTAAATTAAATTAAATTATATTTAAAAGTTTCCACGTGATTTTCACGCCACGACTTCTCAATTGCCACATGATTTTCACGTCATAGTTTCTCAGTTGCCACGTGAAAATCACGACACAAAATTATCATTAAGATTATGGCGCAACAAATTATCTTTCCAATACAGGAGGTCCCAAAATATACTTCTTTTTGTCCAATTGTGTGTGACTCCATATCCTTCAATTCTACATGCTTTGCCAGTATCTGTAAATTTTGGTAGTTCACAAACTTGGTTTCATATATCACCTGGTGACAATCGAGGCGGAGGCAGATCTGATACTCGTTCGTCTTTTTTAAAATTTGTCTTGTTTCTTCTATAAGGATGATTTGTTGGTAGGAATCTGCGGTGACAGTCAAACCATGAGCTTTTACTCCCTTTATCCAACGTAAACGCTTTGGTGTATACTAAGAATTGCGGACAACTCATTTTTCCATGCGTACCCCAACCAGACAACATGCCATATGCCGGAAAGTCATTAATGGTCCACATCAAGGCAGCTCGCAAAGTAAAGTTTTGTTTACGGGATATTTCATAAGTCCATTCTCCAATCTACAACCTCTTCAAATCATCAATTAAAGGTTGTAAGTACACATCAATTTCGGCTTTTGGACAGGGCGGACTTGGAATGACGCACGTCAAAGACATGTATGGTTTTGTCATGCACATATCAAGAGGGAGGTTGTAAGGAGTAACAATAACTTGTCAACAAGAATATGCATTTCGCAACGCTTGCACAGATGGGGGAAAACCATCAGAGCATAATCCATGTCTGACAGTTCTAGGTTCTACGGCAAAATCAAGATGTGTCCGATCAAAGTGCTTTCATGCCTCATCATCAGATGGATGTCGCATAGTGCCTGAACTTGTTTGGTTTGTAAGATGCCATGTCATTTGACTTTTACTGTGCATTGAAGCAAACATTCTTTTTAACCTTGGTATTATCGGAAGATAAAACATGGACTTTACTGCTACAAGCTTTTGCTTGCTGTTAATGGCTTTACTGCGAACTTGATATCTTAGATTCTTACAAAACTTACATTCCTCTAACAATCCATCTTGAGTACCAAAATCGTTGTCATAAAAAAACATGCAATCACTAATGCACCAATCAATCTTTCTTATTTTTAAACCCAACTTCGACACCCACTTCTTTGCATCATAAAAACTTGTAGGCAAGTTGTCTTTTATTGTGGTGGAATCCAACATCATTTTTGCGAAATGTTCCAAACACTGACCAGAAATATTTCAATTTGACTTGGAGGCCAATAATCTCACACACATTGATAACTTTGAGTCTAATGACCCCTCAAACAACGATGTATTCATCTCATTCAACAACTGATAAAATATTTTTGGTTCCTCATTCGGAAACTCTTCCCCGTCAAAATCATCAGGTTGTTCATATGTCACGTTCACACCAAAAGCATCCTCAACCATCTCACTGATCAGATT